AAAGATCTCGGGCCTCTTCAAGTTAAAGCTGTGTTTGGCTGGGCACTGAATGGCGCTGAATATGAGTCTGAGTCTAAACTATAATAATAACCATTCATTTAGAAAACATGTCAAGCCAGGCATGGTGGCGCACGCCTGTAATCCCAGCACTTAGGAGGCTGAGGCAGGAGTTCGAGACCAGCCTGGGCTACAAAGTGAGCTCAAGGCCAGCCTGAACTGCATAGTGAGACCTTGTCTCAAAAAAGACAAAAAAAGAAAAAATAGGAAACGTGTCAGTGGACCGTCAGCACACACTCAGGAAAATGAGAGCTATGGCATGATCCCCAGCCTCCAAGCAAGCATCCATGTTCACAGGTTCAATGGTTTTCCCAAAGTCAGATGATTTGTGCCATAACCGAGAAGAAATAATGCATTGTGCTTAATTCTAAATCCAGTGTTTTCGCACTTAGTGCTGCTACAATAAGGCTTTGAAAATATTGCAAGTCTTCTTAGCAATTAAAGACATAGTTAATTTGTTGGCCAGAGATGAACAGCAAAGAGAAAAAATATTCTCTCTCTGGGGTTGCATATGAAGCAGACATCTATACAGAGAAATCAAATTTCTTCAGTTTCTTTTTTTTCCCCTACTGAAAGTCATTCCCACTTTTCTCTTGGCCTTCAGAATCAGGTCTGAAATCTCTCATACTCAGTCAAAGCCGATTGGAAACAAGGGTTCTGATTTTTGTCTGCTGTTTTTCCCACTATTCCCTAACTCCTAAGCACAGGCCGTGCTGTGCTCCCTTTAACAAGGGAAGTTACTGGATGCCAGCTTTGTGCCGGCGTCCGTGCTCAGAGCCTGCTGCACACCTTCAGTAGTACACACAGTAAGTGTGGGAGGGATAGATTCGTGCAGTTTTTTACAGATGAACCGCACCACTGCAATGTGCTAGGTCCGCGATCAGAGCGTAAGTCTGAACCGGCCGACTCTTGTGTTGCTATAACTTGAATGCTGTAAACTCACAGCGTGTTGCCTGCTTGTTTTCCTTGTGGCCCTCTTGGAATCTCCCTCCTCTTCGTCCTTTGCGACTCAATTCAGTCAGCTCCTTGGGAGTGCTTTCTTGGAGACCCTGTCTCACCCCATCTCCCCGCTCAGTTGCGTGCTGTTCCTTTGTTTACTTAGCGCCCTCTGCTTAATAGACTTGTTACACACCTTACACTGAATTTTAATTACTGGTATATTTTCCCCTTTTACAAGTAAACTATGAGCTCACTGAGGACAAGGCCTGTGCTTCTCTTACCCCTGCACACACAATACCTAGCACTGTCCCTGCCGTGTGATAAACACCCTTTCTGTTGAGCTGAATTTGTATGTGGATAGCAGCAGAATTTGTAAGCAAAGTACCAAAAAAATTACATATCTGACCAGGCCCTTCATGTAGATTCCTGGAAATGAGTTTGGATTTTTGTTTATTTGTTTGTTGGGGGGAGTGTTGTGTGTTTTGTTTTGTCTTGTCTTGTTTTTAGTACAAGGGGTTGAACCCAGAGCCTTTACACTGAGCTATATCCCCAGCCCTATTTAATTTTTTTTTTTTTTTTAATTTTGAGACAGGATCTTGCTTAGTCTGGGCTTGAATTTGTGATCCTCCTGCATCATCCTCCCTGAGTCCTGGGATTGCAGGCGTGTGCTAGCATACCCAGCTAGAGAGCATAACTCTTTTTTTTTTTTTTTTTTTTTGTCTCCGGTACCGGGAACCGAACTCACGACCTTGCGCTTGCCAGGCTAGAGAGCATAACTCTTAAGAAAAAGCCTAAATCATGCTTTTGGTTTTAGTCCTCTATGCTGAGGTCTTTAGTATTACTATTAGGATCTGCATTGTATGCAGGGATGTGGGAAGTTTTGCTCTGTGTAGGAATATAAAAAACATGTATAATTCTGAGTTATTCATCTCCTTCCTCTCTGACAAAAGCAACCAAGTCAGAGAAAGCAACCAAGTTCTGTTGCATTCTGTGGCTTCCTCCCCAGGATTTATGAGTCTCTGTCTTGGACAAGATCTCAGAGTTAGTGCTGAGTATACTACCTTTGCTACAGCCACCTTCCAATAAACCGGAGAGGGCTCCCAGCTGCAGGGGAGATCTATTACCACCATAACTCTTGGCTTATCCAGTACTTTTTTTTTCTGAGTCTGGCAGAAAAACTGAAAATATGAAAGTTTGTATCTTATACCACAGTTCCACAGGAGATTCATGAATCTTCAGCTTCCTTCAGAAAATCCGGTGTTTCTGTTACTCCTACCCACTAGACAAATTACTGTCGATGACCCCATTATTTCTCATTAGTGAGGGTGAACCTTACGTACCTGAATGTAAATAAACGTCCTTGGAGCCCTTGTATTTCTCCATCCTTAAAAATCTACATCTCTTCGCAGAACCTGCCCCGTAAATAGTATCATATCATGAATTAAATCTTTATTGTGTAATTGGATACATTTCCTGAGCGAATTTTAATTGCTTTGAGAAACTGCTTAACATGGTAAATCAATCCTGAGATCCGAGATGACATTTCCCTCGCAAAATTAATTATTAATACCCTGATCATTTGCTTAAGACATTAATAGTTTTCATTGATCAGCACATCCTGTTTATCTAAAATAACCTAATCACCATGCATGTCAAAAGACTATCAGAACATACCCAATTAGAGACGCTCCCTGCTTTCAGCTACTTCAGCAGATCATAGGTTAAGGGTCCCTTTTGTCGTCACAACATATTAAGTGTAGCTTTATCAGAAGCGGAGCTATTTAGGCCACAAAAGAAAGGAAGTTCTCAAATGATGCCTCTTTGCTTTCTATTGGCTTCCTGGTAAACATAAAGGCTTTTCAGTGACCATGTGGTATACATGAACTTTAACAGCTCTTGATTAACTGGCTTGTGTTGGTGTGTGTTCTCATGAAAGCTTGTATTTGCTCACAGTATTTTTCTCCTAAGTGAGACTGAGGTGAGAAACCCAGGTTATAATCAATTTACAAAGCCTGGGTCTCCCTCATTGTACATATATATATTTAAAAATCATATTGCACATCAGAAGTATATACAATTTTTGTCTATCTAAAAACTAATATGAATTATTTTTATGTGATAACTAATAAGTATTGAAACTGCCATGATAAAATCTGGAAATAGATGATGCTGTGTAGTTTTCAAGGTGATTTCATTTATTTCTCCAGGATATTTTGCTTGAAATACCCTTCTTAGGGCTGGCAGAGTAGGGTGTCATGCCTAGGACAGCTACTTACTGCCAGAGCTGTGAAAGAGACACCAGTCTCGTTGTCCCTAGTTTGTTTGCCTATCTGATGAGCTCATGAATAGGCTCATCTTTCAAACTCCGCTATGGGCTCATCCCTTTGATGAAGACTCTCAAGCCAGACAGTTTCTTCCTTCTGCGGTAATGGCATATTATATAGCCATTATGTGACATTATTGGAACTGTCCACGGTGGAGCATAAGATTTTAGAGGCTAGAGACAGCTTCTTATTCATGTGGGTGCTCTGTATGTGTGTCCGTGCATAGCTAGCTGCAGGCTTGCTGGGACAAGGGTGGGTGAGTGAGAGGACACACAATGAATGCAACCTTAAGCACCAGAAGGCAATTTGGCTTTGTTTCAGATCTTCAGTATTTGAAAAATATTTCGATTTCTAATATTTAAAACTTGGGAGATTTTCAAATTTCCATACTATTTTCATCTTCTCTTTGAAAATATATATGTATATCCTGCAACTGTGACATATGGCCTGTCCTTCCTTCCACTCCTTGAGTTGAAGAACATGTGTCTTCTTTCAGTGAGGACATGCTTGTGTACTCCAGAATGCCAGCCTCTGCCCACCTGCCTCACTCCGTTGGTTATATGCTTTCTAGCTTTTGGTAAATGGAACAAATTACCTCTTTACCACAGAATTCTTCTGTGTTAAAATAACTGACTAAAGGCAGCATAAGGCTTCTTAATTATACTGTGGATCTCTCTACATGAACCTAATACACAGTTGCACTCAGTTGGTAGAATTTCAGTAAGCACGGGAGCTGCATACCTCTAGTGCATTTTGTGTTCTCCCATTTTTCTTTGTTGTAGCAGAATACCAGAGGCAGGCTACTTATAAAGAAAAAGAGGTCTGTTTATCCTACAGTTTGGGAGGCTGAGAGTCTCAACAGCATTGCATAGGCTCTGGACAGGGCCTCATGGTGAGTGGAAGGCGTGCATATGAAGGGAAGAGTTCACATCATCAGACAGGAGGCAGAGGACAGTTTAGAGCTGGACCCTCCTTTTGTAAGAACTCTTGCGTCCTTTGGGAGCTACCTTAGTTCCTTCAAAGGGCAGCTCTTTCAGTGACATAATCAACTTCCAGTAGACTCCACCTCTTAAAGATTTTACCACCTCCGACTTCACCACACTGAGGACCAAGCTACCAGCACATGAAATTAGGAAGACATGCTCAAGTCCTATTCCACACCACAATGTACTTAAAGAATGAAATGTGCAGCATGGGAAAAAAATAAGTTTGAAAAGAGGCAGTAGTCACAATTTTCCCATGTATTTTCATTCTAAAAATTGGACATTTTACCTTAAGGTTCACCAAAGCTAAACCTACCTGTTTATTTTGTTTTGTGGCAGTTTTTCTCTATTTGGTGTTTTCATTTTATTATAAATTGGGTTATTAAAAATAACAAGGACTGGGGACTAAGGAACAAGTAAAAACTTTGTAAAAAGCACTGAATTCCCCTGCCTTCATGTTGGTTCCTGCCTACTCAGAAGCAGTTCTTTTCGTCACTCAATAGCCACAGGGGTACAAGAGCTCCAATCCCTGCCCGAGTATTATTTGCTTCATATTTATAATTTAACAAGTTCCTTTCTTCTCCTTCAGTAATAATTTTCTGTAAGTGAATTTTATTTATATCCAAGTGAAGATAAATTTGCAGAGACTACAAGAAGTATTCCCAAATCTCATTTTAATGTCTCTTCTTTTCTACAGATTAAAGGTGGTACAAAACTTTAAAGAAGCAACAATTCTATTCGCTTGTTATTGGACTTGAAACTCTTGTGACCTCGGAAACTGAAGATGAGGTTACCATGGGAACTGCTGGTACTGCAATCATTCATGTTGTGCCTTGCAGGTAGAGTGTCATTTCAAAACTTTTGATTTAAAAAATACCACTGCATTTCACACTAATTCAAAAGAGGGCCTTCACTTTAGATGGCAACAATAAAATCAGAAGAGTGCAGGTTACTATGACTAGCATTTGTTGACATTGTTGAATACACCTTCCGGATGGTCTTTCAGGGGCTCTTTTCATGGTGTTGTATCCAGAGGTAGACGTTGATGCTTCACCTGTCTGTCTGGTCCTTTTAGAGTCATTTGAGCCATCATTTAGTTTGAAAGTTGTTATTTTTGCTCATCCCAGTGCTCAATTGCAGAGAGATACTGGGCAATAAAATGAATGATACAGTCTGGAGTATTGCCTACATTGATGTCTGCAGATGGTAGTTTATCTGGCTTGCTCTTTCAGTGTCTGTTGATATTGCTTCATCTTTTTATACTGTCTCTCTTTTCTATTTCAGTGCATCTATAGTATAGCAGGACCTAGAAAGCAAAAAGACAGGAGATTTTTAACATATACTCATGGGTAACATTAAAAAGTGCTTTAACATTTTCATTTTATTGCTTTTTCATTTCTCTGGGTGATGTGAGCCTAGCAGTTGACATGCATAATTCAAGTGTTAATATATTATGAGTCCACTTTGCACTGGGAATTGCTTTACAGGTTTGAATAGTATGCATTTTTCAAAGTCTTTATAAATTGATTCTAATTGATCTATTTTGTTATTCAGTGTCAAGTCCAAGGAACACCTCAATGTGTTTATCTTTTTACAATGAAACACAAAAATGACCTTTGTATCCCCGTTACTTTACTTCATGCATTCATTTAAATATTGCTGAGTATCTTGCAGTGAAGCAACATGTGACAGGACCTGGGAATATAATGCTGAGCAAGGTAGATACAGCTCCTATCAGAACTCTATTATATTAGTTCTAGAGCTAGTTACAGCTTCTTATGGAAGACTATTTGCAACTACTTTAAAATCAAACACAGTAATGATAGTACAAGCAAAAATATGAATCTGTTGCTCCATGTTAGGTACTATGGTATGTACTTGGAAAACAATTTAATTTTACTGTCCTATGCCTCAGAGGTAGTACTCACTACTCAGCTTTGCTCTAAGCATTACTAACATTTACACTAAAATATCAAGGGGTTAAGAAACTTGCTCAAAGTCATATAACATTTAGGTATCAGAGAAATAACTCAAATTCAAGTTTACTGTACTCTCATCCATCATAGTATTCATTCTTTAAGCCATCCTGTCAATTTGACATGGTCATTGCTGCAAATGTGTTGCTGAAATCTTGGTTTTATTATTCATATGTTCTTCTAAATGCACACCATCACTTACTATAAATCTTTTAATACTACTACCTACAAATTCTAAACTCCTTGCTTCAGTTGAATACACAATATTTGCACTCTTCTGTCATTGTGAACATATTAGCATCTTTTTAGAGATATAATTTATCACTCTCGTCTGTTCAGAACCCAGATGTCCCCCCAGCAGTATGTCCTAAGCTGTAAACATCTGTTGCATTTCTATGGCATCTGACACCACAATCCCCCCAGGACTCACCTGAAATCCTCTACCTTCTCATAATCCTTCTGATTTAAACTGTAAGAGTGAATCAACGTCTTGGCGTTTGGCTTCAACAATGTGCTTATTTAACCTAGTATGCTTAGGTCAGTATCAGGAAAGCAAAGGATTAAAGCTCAAGGACACCATTAATCTCTTCAGTCATGGCTTGACCAACTTAGATTTCTCACATAAGAATGTGTACCTCTATCCCTTTTCATTCACTTAGCTACTTGTAAGGAGTCAGTATATTGATTGCTTTTGCAAGGCTTTTTTGTGACCTGCTCTTCATGGCATTAATATTCTCATACCATATGCCTCCTTCAGTATAGGTAAGTCAAGCGTTAATTAATGTTTTTGTTTTCTTGCTATTTGTCTTGATTTCATTAATTTACATAGTAATTGACACACTGAATTTTGAACAGATTCTCTAACTGCTCATTCTTTTCCTTGTGTACATCATCCATAATTTTCGATACTTCCTTTGTGAGTGTGGCAAGGAGAGTATTTAGGCCTATTAAATTTACCATAATTAGCAATATCAAATATGCCTTTTCCTGATTGTTTTCCCCAAAGAGGATAGAGGATCCACATATATAAATAGGCTAATCCTTCAGGAATACCTCTTAGAAGGTGTAATAATTATTTGAGAATATTGATTCATAATTTCTGGTGTAGTGCAAATGTTACTGTCCTTTACCAATTATTAGATTCACTCTAGGATGATATTTTATAAAAAAAAAAAAAAAAGACTAGTGATGCCAACAATCTATGAAGTTAATTACTAAAAAAGTTGTCTTAATTCTTATCCTCATTATATATTTTAAGCCAGCATCACAATATCCTACTACCAAAAGACAGCAAAAAAGTTAGCAAATCCATGTTTTTTTTTTGTTTGTTTTTTTGTTTTTTGTTTTTTTTGGTACCAGGAGTCAAACTCAGGACCTCGTGCCTGCCAGGAAGACGCTGTGCCGCTGAGCTGTATACCATACAATAGAAAATGTACTAACTGTGAAAAACTGGATGCCACATGTTAGTAAGATACCACCCAGAATCCCACTCTAATTCTGTATGACAGGTTCCCCAGTGTTTTGAGGTTTTTATGCGTAATCTTCTTTTCAAAGTTGCCATAATATTAATAAATACAATTCAAGTTATTTTTTTAATTTTAAAAATAAAAGGAAAACATTGACAGACAGACAGCCTTTTATAAAATAGCAAAAGAACAGTACACAGTCTTTCTCTGAAGTCACCAGCATGGGAAGCTATGAGACATAAGCCCTCTCCTTGAGGGAAGTCCTCAGCCAATGAAGTAGGAGAATCAGTAGATAATTGACTGGATCTCCTGTCATTAGGGGAATCGGTAATTAAGCACATTTTTTGTAGTTCCTTAAAGATCCTTAACAGGATTGAATCCAAGTTCCACCATAGCTTTTAATTTGTTGTTGTTGTTGTTGTTGTTCTTTTTAGTACTGCTGTCTGGGATTACTTCCCAGATAACCTAACTGCTGCAAAGTTCTTCTCCTGGGCTCTGCTTTTGGGAGAATCCAAACCAAGAACATAACACATCAATATATAGCAGAGAGACACCTGGTATTGGTCATGTTAGCAATCAGGAAGAAACTGGACAAGAAACACGTCTTTGACATGGATTATGGAAAAGGGACTGCATCTGCATCTGTGCAAAAGTGACTGCACTGCATATACATCAGCAAAGTATAGTGATATCTAAGTATTACCTAGGTCCTGAAGCCAGATAGTTTTTTCTTTTTACTATTTAGTAGTTTATTATTTTACCAGATGTTGGGCAAGTCATTCTGCCTCTCTAGGATTCAATTTACACCTCTGTACAATGAGTGGATAGAACAGAGGCCTCTAAGGTCCCTTTTGGCTCTAAAAATGTACAATATTATGTGTATACATGGTTTGAGAGGTAGATATATACGCTGATAGGATTAGAACTCAGTCTGGAATCGTATCCTACTAATATGAGATTTCACATAGGTCATATGCTTTCCCATGTGTTACTGATTCTGTTCACATTGACAGAATTTGAAAGAAGAAATAAAATGGCTGGCCCATATGTTCATGTGCAGCAAGAGGTGTGAAGATGTTTAAAAACCCTCTGTGAACAAATGTAAAAATGTATCCCTGCTACGTTCTCAGTTGAACTTGGTTTCAGGGAGGCTAAATTTTTTCCATCTCTGTGGTTCAGTTTACCAACTTCAGCAATTAACTCTTTTTGAGAAAGTGCCTCTGCTCCAAATGCAAACATTCCGTTGATTTGCTCCCAAAATCTATACTGTTGTTACAGCTGCATCTGAGGGTAAGCAGTAGAGAAAAAAAGGTCCTGTATAATTCATGGGAGATATCCTCTCAGATCGGTGAATGTTTTCAAAAAGGGGAGCAACGAGGAGCCCTGGGTTGAATAGTCAATCATGAGGATGCTGTTCTAATCTATGTTGGTGAGAAATGCAAAGGAAAGGCCAATACCTGCTGTCAAAGCCCAGGGAGAGAAAGCTCAGTACTCCTCAAAGGTACTTTAGGATTAGAAAGCCTTTATCACTAAAGAAAAAGTAGGCTATCTGTAGGTTAGACTTTTCTAGATTCTAAGAGGACAAGTACACAGTAGGAGTTCCCAGAGTTTTTGTTATTGGTGATACAACTTGATATGCATAATTTTTTCACTTACGCAAAATATTGCAGCAAAGCTCAGGACTGGCAAATTCCTCTCTTCTTCGTAATGCCCATGCCTCCTCTCCAGGATATATTTTTCATCATGCCCTTGTATCCCCACCAGGATGAGAGGCTCCCAGAAGTTAGCTTTAAGTCTTGACCACACAGCACAGCCTGGTATGATATTTCAGTTTCCAAGACTCCCGTATGTTTCTGAGACTTTCTTTTTTTTTTTTTTTTTTTTTTGGTTTTTTGGTTTTTCTCCGGTACCAGGAACTGAACTCACGACCTTGCGCTTGCCAGGCAGGCGCTTTTGCCGCAGAGCTAAATCCCCAGCCCTTCTGAGACTTTCATATGACAGAATAAACAGAAAAACAGACAACATTCAAATAATTTAGATATTACACCTAGTATTCTTACAGAAGTGACATATTTAAGTAAGATCAAAAGAGAGTTGAGGGAATGTCTGTGTTCATTGAGTTAAGGCAAAGCATAGTCCTACAGCGAGCTTTGTTTCTCTTTTTACAGCCACAATGACTCAAGTCAAAGCAAGAATTTCCTCTTACTTCTATTCTCTTTCATAATTATGGGCATGAAATGAAGCCAGAGTGGTAGATCTAGCCAAGAGAAGAGCTAATAACTAGATTGAAAAACAATAGCTAGAGTCATAAAAATTCTAGAAAGAAATGAAGCAAGTATGCCCAGAAAATAATAAATAGCAAATGTAAAAGTACTTCTCAATGTTAATTTATGTATT